TGGCCGAAAACGAGGATGAAGACGACGATACCTTTGAGTCTCCGCAGTTGCCTATTGTGGCTGAAACAGTAGTAGATCTCAATCAGAGTAGGATTGGTTCAAATTTAACATATATATTTATATAAATATGTATTCGTATAAATATAAATATATAAGATACACTTATTAATGATCAGTTATGTGCAATTTGAAAAACCCACAAAATCAATGCATTTTGAAAAATTCAAAAAGAATTTCTAAACTTGCCCAACTTCGTAATGAATTCTGAGTTCATGTGTTACAGAGCACGTCTCATTCAAATTTAGCAAAACTTATTCTAAACTGTGTTATGATCATCTCTGCTTACACTATCTCTTTGTTATCAAACACAATCCTACAAAGAGAATTGGTATCAACTAAAAGCAAGCTAACAATACTTGTTTGGTCACACTTGGAAAACCCTACCTGTTAGGGTTTCCATTAATTATGAATCTTCAAGCTTTTAAGGAGATAATAAGCACTATCCATAGTAACATGCATCACCTGTAATAGGAGATGCATCTTACAGAACTTCCAGCTAAGGCCATTCTTAGAGACAACAGTAGTAAAAAATACACACCAACAGACAGATCCCAGAATGCACCCAGGAAAAAAATCACTCCCTCTTTAAAATCACTATTTGTCCAGTTAAAAGGACCAAGGCTACAATTCAACATATCCCAATTGTATACTTAGCCGATTCTGCCCAAACCTAAATTCATAAATAATTGAACTATACAACTCATATCTGAGACATCAGATGCTTAAGCAATAAAGTGGTGTATATTCTTTTAAAGGAACAAGAGAAAGAATGTACATGACATGACATGGGATTTATTTTTCATGATTATCATCTGCAACATCTATCTTGATTATGAGTCGCTGATTGAGATCTACTGCTGTTTCAGCCAGAATAGGCAACTGTGGAGACTCAAAGATATCATCTTCATCCTCGTTTTCTGCCAAAGCTTTATCCAAAGCCGTCTTGGCAACTTTTGTAACACAAACCATCAAGATTACTGCACAAAGGAAAACAAAAGAACATTTCAAAAACTTCGAAACTCACCAAAAAAATCTTCTGGCAATAAAGTACATGCTGATTAACTTTTAACACGACATATCAGTTCCATGGTTGATTATAAATCTTAAAGTACAGTTAACTCCAATTATTTGGTTACTTCCTAGAAAACAAACTTCCTCCGGTCTCCCTATGACCAGAAAATGATATTCTTTTTTTGATATAAAAGTTAGTAGATGTATTTATCTAAGAGAATATTGATAACAGCTCAAATGTTATTGAAAGATAATAAGTATTGTACTCTAACCAGAAAATTATATCTTATCCTAAATTGGTTGAAAAGCATTGTACTCTAACCATCAGCGGCCAAAAGTTAGTGATCATTTAACCTACACAGTTCATAAAAGGCACGAGGGATATTTCTCATTCAAAATTCACAAAAGAAAGAACCAACCAAAAAAACTCCCAAAGTATTGATAGTCTCTCCTCCATCTTATCTTCTTTTTTCCCTAGACTCTTCTGTTTCTTAGGCAAATTTTGATAAAAACTTGAAATTTACGCCCTGTGGGTGGCCAGCTCATTTGGTAAATACATTTATACACACAAGGACACGCAACAGAATCCTACTCACACTTGAGAAGTGGCTGGATGAGGAAAGAGTGAATACCTCTTAAATAACTAATTAACAGACCAATTGACTCCATTTAGAACAAAAAAATAAACCATAATATGTTGATGCCCTACACCCAAACATTCTACAGTTACATTCTCCCAAAGGACCTTGGATCATCAAGCTTCCCTTCATTTATATTAGAGGATTTAATGGAGGAGGGCAGAGTTATTTTGCCTCTGTATCCAGTATACGGCAAGCAAAAAAGCCAAATGGGATTGGGAAAAAATAGTTGCCAGCAATTGTAACTCACCAGACACCACAAGGCTCAAAATGAGAAAAACCTGCACCACCATGAAGGAACAAATATATGTCAGGTTACAGGATAGAAAAAGTTTAAAGCAATCATTGTTTCAGGAATTAGAAAGTATATCATTCAAGCTTCTTTCCTTATGACTACCCACAGATTCACATGTTGTGTCAGCCCAAGGTTGTTAATAATGAACAAGAACTTATCTCAACTTTCTTTTGGAGTAATTCACATCCATATATGTATATGTTGGGTTGACATTTTAGATTTGAGATATATTTTAAATTTACATAACCATTTCTGTTAATTGCCCAATCAAGCCAACCAATACTGAAAAAATCCAGAGCACTCGATTTAAGAATAGAGATATTGATAAATTTTTGTGGAATTCCTTCCTCTATTTATTATCACTTTGTCACTATTCAATTTGCAAGTATGTGTTATAGTTATCAGCACACATCATCTTCAAAAATCTTTCTCTAACAGCTACTATTTCCTTTGCATTCAGTTATGAAAATTTAGAAAATTGCATTAATGATTATAAACAACTAGTTAGATCAAGCTTGTAAGTTAGAATTATAAGTTAGAATTTCGTGCTCCCGTGGCTTTTCTAAGATTCAAAAAAGAAAAATCCAAATTTTCTTTTCACATCTTGCCATCAACCAATCAAGTTAAACAACCTCACCAATCAAAACCAAACCAAAAATGGCTTTATAAAGAAAGAAAAAAAAAACAAAATTAAACTATAAGTAGGAAGTATAGAACATAAACTATAATAAACTTTTTTTTGAATGAATAACTATACTAAACTAGAATAGAAGTAAATAGAAAAAATGAAAATTACCAAAAGATGATATAAGACACAGAGAAAGAGAGAGACAAAAGAAGAGAAATACCATGTTAGGTAAAAAGTAGGGATTTACTCCTTTAGAAAAAAATTATCAAAAGAACTAAAAAAATTATACAAAGAAAATTTTGGCATAGAATTCCACTTTGGGCAGCCCAATAGCCACTGTAGTATTATAGATTGGTTTTGACCAATATATATCATACCTAGTATGATTAACATAGGCTGATATGGTCCAGAACAATTTTACCTATATTACAAGTCATAATATGCTATCTCTCACCTTTGTGTAGACCTTTATGCTTCAAAATAACTATTTTTTAAAAATCCAAAAAAAAAAAAACACCCGAGCATGTGTTGACAGTTAAAAAGACATGTCTTGACAGTTGAAAAGATGTAGATGATGCCTCAAATAGACATTCCACAATCCTTACCCAACGAGAGGTTGAAAACTCATTCCATCCATGTGTAACATCAGAAAGATCCTTGAGAGTTGTTCCAACATACACTAGTGCAAGCGTTATTGGCTGCAAAAAAAAAAAAAAAGAGTATCAGACACATCCAAGACAAGAACCTACCCCATACTACATTATCAATAATCTCTCTTATACAACCTAGCATGAATATTAATAAACTGATCCAAGAAAGCAATTGTTTTCTTCACAACGAAACTAATCAACTCGTCCTGATTGTTCCACATACAAAAAACTGTTCAGCAGAGAGAACCTCCAGTTCTCTGTATACTGAACCATGCAAACACTATGATGTTACTACTAACAAGGTCCAATAACTACTTCTAGTGTTTGTAGGTTTATATTCAAGAGGGCTTTATTACCTCTTTTATTTGTGACGCAAGGAGGATAAATTCTCGTTGCAGAAAGGGGACACTTAGCTGGTGGGTGCTACTGTTGGATAAAACAGAAGGGATTAAGGACTATTTCTCCCCTCTATTAATTCTTGGGAAGACAAATACTTTTTTGGCATCTCTTTGCACTAAGGTGCATTACCTATATGAATATTTTCTTTCTATAGACTGGCCACTGTTCTTTATTCAATTGTTCACTATGTTGTTTCAACCTATTCTTTCTTACTTCTTTGTTCTAAAAAACATTTGGAGGACAACTAGTCCTCCAGTTATGCCCTTTGTTTCCCTTCCTCTTCAATAATAGTTTTTTTTTTTCAATAACATTGAACTGAGACAGGATAGGTGCCTCCCATAACTGAATCCAAATTCACAAGCCATATGCAAGCATCAATTGAATTCCCAACTAAACTACCCACACTTGCTACTGACAGAATTTTCTGTTTATGACATAATTAATTTTATAGGAGTATCATTGTTAACAGACAGGAACTAAATATTTGCTGAGATGCATTTTCAAGAAGAGTATCATCCTTCATCCTTTATTTGTCCTCGTGCCAATATTTTTTCCTACAGCGTATACATTGATATGCAAAACTCGTGCCAAACCATTAACTTCTGTATCATACTAGAGATTATGTACAAAAAGAATCAACTGATATATAGCATGGTACAGTCAGGTTTCAAATGACAGTTTTAGGATTTCTGCGAATAAAAGACTACTCTACTTATTGATTCATTTACATACAAGGCAGACAAATTGTTATGAGATACCAAACACCATAGAATCTAAATTTTATTAGAAATTCATGAATAATGATGCTTGTAGCGTATGCTTAATATATCAGGCCACTGGACCAAAAGACTATTAGTTTAAAGAGATAAAAAAGATACCATCATTCCCAGCCATGAAGCCAGCATGTATGAGCCAACTGGAACAGGAGTGACAGACAGAAGGTAATTCAACATGTTGAATGGGAGCAATGGAACAAGTCGAAGCAGCAACACAATCTGTCATCAAGAAAATAATTAACCGAAAAAAGTTTTAAAAACCAAATTAAGAAATTAGTCAATAGAAACTACAATTTTTGCAGTCATAGTCACATTTCTTCTTTGTGAAAAGTCCAAGAGATATGCAAGAATGCTATATAAGAATTTTTCAGTGCACAAATGCATGATTATGAGAATTTTAGTCTTGACTATCTTCATATGCAAACTTCCAATGTTAAAATTGCAAATTTGTATTAATCTTGAAACGCATAATTAGCATCTCCTTGGTGCCAAACCAAACAATCAGGAATACAGGCATCTAGTTTGAAATTCTCACAAATTCATGGACCGGTTGAACAATCAAAACATAGGTATAATACACATTTAAAGCACAACTTGTACTCTTCCAGATATCCATTGTTCATGCCATTGGTTTTTAGCCCAGTGAACTTTTCACTGGCTTAATCACAACCCTCAACAATCAACAGCCTTGGCCCGGCAGTTAGCCAAGTCCCTAACTATGTTACAAACTTACTTTCGACTTCTATCTCGTGTAACATTAAAATATATATTACATTGTACTAAAAAAATAATCACAAATTCAAACTAAAACTAAAAGTAGATTTAATTCTAAGATTCACCAATTCACTTCATATCCATCAGGTGCAAATAGTTACATCTGCTCATTGCTTCATTGTCAGTCTCATAGTTCTGCAGTCACTCCCTCTTACTATTATAAGAAAAGGTCGGCAAATGTAACACGTAGAAGAAATCGAAGGACAAATTGCGAGCATCCAGTCATTTAAAAAATATCGAATATGAACACAAACCTTAAAACCAGATCTTTTTATTGCAATTGCAACTGACCGGAACTTTGGATAATCCTTCAACTTGGAAGCAACATAAGATTTCCCTATCTATAAAAGAGAAACACATTAAGATACAAATAAAACAATATAAACAGTTTAAGACACTACCAAAATTATCAAAATGGACTTTGGAACAGAATATCGAAAGATTAACCAAAAATTAACTGCTAAGGAAAATAAAACATTGTCGACCAAAATGCTAAGATCCTCACGGCAATCCATCAATAATGATCAATTATAACAAAATGGGCACTCTTTGGAACAATTAGTAGTGTATCTACCACTGGAAGTGTTCAGAAACTTACCGTACGGCCAAGGAGAAAAGCAGCCCCAGCACCAACAGTAGCACCAATAGAGTCAGCCACAAAGCCCACAGTTAATCCGAAAAGATAACCACCACCAAGCTAAACGATGGAAGCCAAATCGCATGTAAGATGGCACTTACTTAAATACTCTGCTTTATATGTAACTATTGTTGGAAAGGGTGTGCACATTAAGTAATATGATTGAGACTAAGAATCAATCACACATACAAAGACATGAGATTGCAAAAGGGAAACACCAAGTAGACATTGTCATTACCAACTAATATTGCACACCAATCATAGAAAATCTAGTACCATCTTCAATTAATTAGAAACAAATCATATTCATAAACGCTGCCTGGTTAGATATGAAAGCTGGTGTTTGCAATTCTAATTCAATGTATTGCACAATAATCTTCTCAACCAAGAATCGCTTACCAATTCCCAGAGAAAGGTAAAGGATAGGGAAAAGGACAAGCTATAAATAATCTACACACGAGTTACAAAATTTTGGATCACACTCCACCAGCAACCTTATCCTTCCTTGCTATTCCTATAACCAAGAGAAACTCGTAATCTATTGTCTCCACGATGAGAAAAAGAGACTGAGGCTTTTCCAAGCACTTTTTCATGACAAAGGCATAAGTGCAAAAGAGCATAATGCAGTTAAGAATGAAATTAAATTATAACCAGGCAAGGAAGCAAGGGAGCAACTTTTTACACTGTTTTTACATAGTTTATAGTTGATAAAACCAAGATTTAATGTAAACTCTATTGTCATTTTCGTACTTTCGACTACTTGAAGAATTTGTCTTTTTTCAATTACTTAGAGAATTTGTCTTGCTTCTTTCCTTTTTATGTTGTTCAAAAGATTTTACCCACATTTTTTGCATTAACTTCCTAATATATTTAACCAAGACATAATAAAAAGTCTAATGCATTTCGATTTTGATAAAAGGAATTAGAAAGCAACTGCCCAAATTCCTACAGACACAGGCCAATATTTGAGATTGTGAATTCAAATATTGATGGAAGTAATTTAACAATCTCAACAAAATAAGCAAAACAAAAAAGAGTAAATTTTCTCTGAAGAAATTAGAGAGCAAAAAGGATTAGCTAAAGCATAAGGGTAAGAATTGAATGCTTACAGTAACTATGGATGCAGCAACAGCCAAA